ATTACAGCTACAAGACTTTTTATTGACATTTTACAATAGATTTTTTTACAGTGTACGCGAACAGGCGGAAGCCACAGCAAAACGTGAGCTTTATGTGGTTGTAGTATATCAAGTCTATAAAGTAAATTAAAGTATAAAAGCCTATAAAGTAAATATTGGTAATCAAATAAATTCGTTTTGTCATTCAAAGTAGGTCTAATAGGATTTTTTAAATTTCGCGTAACGCTGTCAGTGAAATTTTATTTTATAGAGAAACGCAGCAGCAGCATCAACAGAGAAAAATTGAGGAATTTAAGACGTGGATGCTTAGCCTGTACATTCTTTAGGCTATTAAGTCCACTGATTCCTTTATTTTTAAGCCTATTTTGTGTGGAACGCCATTGCCAAACGTGTCCGTTGTTGCCTATATGTTGCTTAAAAATAAATATTTTCTGAGTGGCAATGTTGCCATTGCTCATATTTCTTTATGATATAAGGCTTCGGTTTAAGGTGACATTTGTTAGGCATGCAGATTATTTGTCCCTCTTTTAAATTGGAGCGAGCGTGGAGCGATTTGACTGGAGCAGGAGGAAATTTTAGTGGAACGAGGAGCGTTGTTGAGCGGAGCGGCGTAGTGCGAATTAGAGCGGAGGAGCCAACAGCCTTGCGAGCGACGAGCGGAAATTCTCACCGCTCCACTCCGCTCGCATGCTCTGGTAGGGACTCAAGTTACATGACTCATAACTCGGCTTGGACTGGAGTCATAAATTTGACGACTTGCGACTTGGCAGCAAAAATTATGGAAAGACTTCGACTCGACTTCGACTTGAGGACAAATGACTCGAGACTTGACTCGGACTGCAATTTTTTTACTCTAGACTTGACTCGGACTTACCAAGGAATGCCTTGTTCCCATCCCTGGTTCGTACAGTTTTCAAAACCCGATTGCAAAGAAATCCCGTCATGTAAGTAAACGGATGCGTTGATAACGTCATTTTCTTTTCAGTTCAAATGAAGTCTTTTATAGGCCAACATTTTAATGTTGAACACTTTCCTATACCAATTTCTGTAGAATAATATATATATATATATATATATATATATATATATATATATATATATATATATAAAGCAGTATATTATTATTATTATTATTATTATTATTATTAAAGTCTCTTGGTAGTGCAGTTTATGTCCACTGGATGGCGCAAAAGTATTTCCATTTCCTTAAGCTTGAATATTACCCGTTAAAAAAGTGAACTGGAAAAACAACCATTAGTAGAGAACCATGCGTAATTAACAAAACGATTTGGTCATATTCTGTCTTTACATTTACTTCTAATGTACATTAAGACAGTCGTACTTAGACAAAGACACAGTTTTCAATACCTAACTCCCTTTATGTCATAGCGTGTATAGACAGCAGCTCCTTTAAATATATCAATATGCCAATTTAATTATATGCAAATTTCGAGCGCTTAAACAGATCAATCTGTGAGTAACTTTGCCGAAACATTGTATATTATTTCCCAGCATTCAAAGCTGCTGAACCTTTTGTAACTTTTGACACATACACTTCTTTTCACCTGCTAGTGTAGGCAGGCTCATTAATTTGGGCGGGTAATTTCCTGCAGTAGCCTGGAGAGGCTGTTTTCCCTTTCAGATCACAACTGTACATTAATATAAAGGATGGGCGGAGGAGGCGACTCATTCTCTCTCCAGCCAGTGTGGCCAAGTGTCACTTTCTCTCCGCGTCCTACAGCTCAGCAAGCGCAAGATCACTGCGGCGATATGGATTTGCCAGGTAAACAGCGACTTTGTCCATGAAATACCTATTTTAATATATACTTGTTTTATTTTCAGCATAAAGCCTTCTTCATTCTGATTTTCAGATGTGATGTCTATAATTAAAACAAATATTTATAGCTGTGCAGATGTTAATTATTTAGAAAGGGACAACCTGCTGAGATGTCGCGAGTTTTTTGGGTATACTATTGTGATTTACTTTACTGTTTGCTCGGTTTATACCTGTAGGAATATATGCAAACACGCGCACATACGTTCGTGTTCATATACAGTTAACTTTAAGTAGCCTATATCTTACAGCTGCGGTTTGGCAAAGGTGCATGCAGTGTTTATTGGATTTGACAAACGGTCATGTACCGTTTTTTTGAAATCCAGAAAGTTATTTCGCCGTGATCCTGGCATTTATCAATATATAGCCGGATAGTAACGTTTTAAGTGTGTAATTCTTGTTCTAGTTATTGAAGACATTGAGTATATTGTGACTTGCACACATGCGTAAACGCGCTAGTGGGGATGCGTAAAGTAATTGCGGTGTTTTGTTTAATTATCAGGACATGTCGAGGGAGCCATCTGAAGAGCATCGCTGCACATCACGCATGAGGAGGAGAGTGTAAAAGAGCGAGAGAGAGAGAGTGAGTGTGAGAGGGAGTGAGAAGGAGAGAGAGGGAAAGGAAGAGGGGGGTTAGGTTGGAGCAGGTGATCGAGACACAACAAACCTCCAAGGAGCTGAACAGTACGCACAGGATTCCTGTCCCGATCATGGTGCCAGCAAGCAGCCTCGGACCCTGTGCCACCCTGGCGCTGGCCTTCCTCCTGGGATGTGGCGTGACTTTTTCCCTGGGCCAGAATGACACGGAGCCTATCGTCCTAGAGGGGAAGTGCCTGGTGGTTTGTGACTCGAATCCCTCTTCGGACGGAGGGGTCACCTCCTCGCTTGGGATATCCGTCCGGTCTGGGAGCGCAAAGGTCGCCTTCTCGGCGGTGAGAGGGACGAATCACGAACCGTCGGAAATGAGCAATACTTCCATGACCATCTACTTTGACCAGGTCAGGTGTCCCGTTCATTATTTTGGATATTTCCATACTGTTAAACAGTCAGACATATGCTGTACTAATAACTTTAGCGTTTACAAATAGATAGTTGCATTCTTTAATTTCCTCCACTTTTTCCCAATTACCTGTCAAAAATGAATTTTTAATTGGTTTTAACATTTTACTCTATTTATTTTTATATCAATAGACATCGCCTCACGACAAACGGTTTAAGACGCGAATGTTTTCGAATAGATTAATTTTAAAGCCATTAAAGTTAAAATTGCCCTTATTTTAAGTGAATGCTTTAGGCATTTCCAGTGAGTTGATAACCACACTGATTGCTGTTTTATTCCCTGGTTTATTAGTATTTTTAAGCAAACACAAATCCGCCCCTTTCTTTGTTGCCAGCAGACACATATTGACGAAGGAACATCACTTGACTGCTGGAGCCTCATTAATTGCCATTTATCTCCGGATTTATATAAACGCCCAGTGAGCGACTCCGAAGTCACTATTTACTGTGTCGATGTTTTGTATTGATCGCACGACTGGGTGCAGCCGAACAAAGTTTTTATTATTACTGTTGTTATAATTCTTATATTTTTGTGAAATGGGAATTAGTTATTTGCTTTAAGTGGCGTGTAGTTCTAAATTCACATACAAAGTATAGGCATGCAATTTTATTAGGAGTTAAAGAAAATGAATTGCACTGAATCGAAGCCGAAAAGACCGCTCTCCGCTAAATGTGTGCATTAAAAACGCTGGTTCGGGGCTTTGAACTCCAAATTAAAGCCCGTTTACGGTGACCCCATATTTAACCGCGGTTGTTTTCTGATATGCCCTCACATAACCATGTAATTATCCCTATTTTGTCATTTCTAATGAATCCCGATTAAAACCGCGTTAACCCGCGCAGCTTGACAAATGGTCTCCTTTATATCTGAAAATCAAATATTGTGAAGTGTTTGTTTATTTATGTTGCTTGTGCATGTGTGTGTGTTTCAGGTATTAGTTAATATCGGAAACCATTTCGATCTAAAAGCCAGTGTATTCCAAGCTCCGAGGAGAGGCATTTACAGTTTCAGCTTTCATGTGGTAAAGGTCTACAACAGGCAGACTATACAGGTGAGGCGCAATGTCCGTGTGTGCAATCAAGGTGTGGTGTGATGTTTTAAAGTCTTGTCGCACAGTGATGCAAAATTAATGCGATGCACAAGGCAATCCACAATGCAGTCCGTCTTGCATTTTAAGTCTGGGGTGCATGAAGAAGAGGCTGATTGAGGTGCATGACACGGGACGTTGTTTTGTGCAGGTGAACCTGATGCAGAATGAGTACCCGGTGATCTCAGCCTTCGCCGGCGATCAGGACGTGACCCGGGAGGCGGCCAGTAACGGCGTCCTACTGCATGTGGAGCGCGAGGACAGAGTATACCTCAAGCTGGAGAGGGGGAACCTCATGGGCGGATGGAAATACTCCACCTTTTCTGGCTTCTTAGTTTTTCCTTTATAATCATTTTTTTTGATTCGCAGAGACTCTTCCGCGGTTGAAGATTATGAAACAGAAATTATATATATACATATTATATATATACGCCATTCGTTTGAACTTAAACTGTCCGCCAAGCAGACAGATAACCACTAAAATATTGGACTTTTCCCTGGAGTTCACAGTACCAGTCCATCGATTGCAGTTACCTATAGGATAAACGAATCAATCGGCTTGTGCAATTTACACAAGTGAAGTTCAGTATTCATCCTTGGATTTCATTGTTGGGGAGGCCATTGACTTCTTTGTCAGCAAAGAACTATTTCGGTGTATTTGGACAACTGAACAAAGGAGAAGAGCTGTCCAAGCCGAAGAGATGAAGCGTTGAACTACGCGACGATTCTTTATTTTGTGTTTGTATAGCCTTAAAAATGGCTTCAGTCACGTAATGTGTGTGGATTTCCGGACGCTCCTGTATCAAGAAATGCTTTACTGCCAAAAGCATTTCCTTTTCTCTCTTTTTTTTTTGCACGAATGGAAGATCTTTAGTTTTGTACTGTTCCTGGTGTTTCTGGATGCTGAACACGTTGAAGAAATGTCCGTTATTAGTCGCCTATTGTTTAAAATAAGAATAATAAAAATAACCGTCTTATTTCGATCAGTGAAGACAGTGAAGAACTACTTTACTAAACGTCTAACCTGATTTATAAAACACATATTCACATTATGGAACATTCTACATTTCGGATCTGCGTATAGCTTTGACTGATTTATTTGTTCAGTGACGTTGCTCACAGTTGTATCTTGTGAAAGAACTACAAAGAAATCCCAATATAATTATCCGCCAAAATAAAATATTGTATTGCTATGCTTATTTAGTTAGCTACGTTTATTATTTCCAGCCTTTCCAAATCTTTACAAAGACGGGGACAAATCAGTTGTTTTATTTTTTCCCCATTATTTTCAAAATATCAGAACATCTCTATTATGCAAATAACTAAGTACTTGTGCCAATTATTACATATTATGAAACGCAGCGGTTCCTGCGACAGCTCGGCAGGAGCCCGTTTTCCGTAGCGCTGAAGGTTACATGCAAAGCTCTTCTGCCAGACCACCTTATTTAGACATTTACGACGTTCTGCTATATTTCCGCAATTTCAGAAGTGTCGATCACAATTAACAGCCTTAATATTAAAAATCAGCTTCAAAACATGTCACTTAACAAATGTAGTGAAGGTGAGATTCCGTGAAACAGTCTTAAACAAATCTGGCAAAGACAAAATAATGTTAAATTTGAGGCATGGAGGCATATCCTTGTTGGGCCTCACATTGGGCAGACATGTATCCTCAGATAAGCGTAATGGCAAAAGTCTACCATCAGTCCTATATATATATTTCATATTTCACTTAAAAGAGGAAATGTAAGTATTAACATGGGGAAAACCTGAAATGAAATTGTTTGATTGAATGACATTGCATGAATTTTAAAATGTATAAATCTGATATACAGGCAGATCAGCCTTGAGAAGGACCCCGGGCTTGTACAAAATTAATGAGCCTGCACACATCTCGAAGGCCTTCACGATTGTGCACGGGGGCAGCATGTTAGGGATGGTTTAGCCTTGGCGTGGTTGGTGCTCTGCTCTGTCACGGGGCCCTGTGCCGTTTCCTGCATCACCCGCTGTTGTTTGTGAGGTTGGCGGATGTCACTGTGTCACCGTGTAACATGTCACCTTTATGTACCGGGGTCCCCCTGCTGCGGAAATGCAGTGTGGGCACGGTTGCTTTCGCCAGCCTCCTTTTGACTAATAATGCGGCCGAGGGGAACCTCGGCTGAGCAGGACGCCTCTGGAACGGCGATCAGTACAGTTTCAGAATGACGGTGGTCAACACACGTAAAAACCAGCTTTAGAAAAATTCCACAAGGAAATGCATTCGTGAAAAGGTGAAGTGCAGCCCAGGTCTGGTGTGAAGTGGTGCAACAAGCAAAAAGGACAGTGGAGGGTGAGGAGGTAGATTAATCACACAGGAAGGTGATTATTCAGACGTGGAAACTCTGCTGGTCGTATTGCTACTGGTTGGCATTTGCAAACTGAATTCTTGTGACCTCAATGGCAGTTTCAACAAAATGAAAAACATAAAATGTAAAATGTCTCTGTGCAAGTGCAGAGTGGAGACTAACTAGACAAACAGATGAAAATGTAACCCACCCGTTTAACATTTTGTTAAAATTAAAAATTTTATCATTTTCTCTCAAAGTAAACCCAGCATTGCTTGTAGTTGGTTTGAACATCAAATAGGCAGATTTCAGGATGATCTCAATGTTGTGGGCCTATAATATGCACAACTATGGTTCAGTAGGAATCTCAAGGTTCTGAATCATGTTCAGAAGTTCTCCAGGTGTTCTCCAAACATTCCACCAAAGGATTCTACTGTAAACAAACAAATGAAAAAGAAACTGTGCATTTTGGCAGTTCTGCCTTTATTTTTGATGGAAGTGTATACTGCCACAGACAATTTGTGTGTGCGTGTGTGTGTGCGCGCACGTGTGTGTGTGTGTACGTACGTAGGTCTTTTTTTTTTTAGAAAAAGATGAAGATCGTCATCATTTGATGTGTTCATATTGACCCTATTCATTTGTTGACAAATTGCTGTATTCTCAATTAAAGGTTCTGATTCTGTTAATGAAGCAGGACATTTTTCAAACCTAGAACTCAAGTCTTAAAGAATGAGAACCTGCACATAAACACACAAATATTCCAAAATTCCATAGCTTGAAAATTGCTGAGGTTTGATACCACATGTATGAAAAATGTTCCGTTGTCAGTTGCATGGAGCTCTGCTTCTCAGCTGTCATGGAGAAAATGGACCGTTCAGAATGACTGGCTTGTGGAAACAGGGCTTGTATGTATTGATGAGAAAACAGCTACCTGGAACATTTATCTGTCCCATTAGAAACTGATAAATATTCATAAGACTGTATCACAAAGAGCTTAATATCTGCCTGACTTCCCAGGATGCTCAGAAACCTGCTAGATGCAAAAGGGAGTTGGGGGAGATATTTTATAATGAAGACATTTAAAGGACATGGGTGATCCAACATTATTTAAATACTTAAAATAATGGGACGTCCTTCCATACAGCTCTTTACTGATGCACATCGATGTTCTGTCTCAACATTTTATGTCGAACCATGTTAGCTGGTGGTTTCAATGACGCTGCTGTAATAAAGCCTCACTTTATCAGGACCAGCCTGGATTCAAGCAGAAAGAACAACATTTGCTGAATAGCATTTGGGAGTTCTCTGTAAATACTCTGGATAATTTGATGTGCCGGTAAGGAGATTTGTAAGTCATGTCTATTGTGTATATAATAATAAATGTACTATATACTGTACTAGATCTTAAGCTTTGGTAAGGGGAAGAGAATGTTGTAGGACATATTGGCCTCATCTTGGTGGAAAATACTTTTAGTTATGGGCTACCAGAGAAGATGCATGAAGACGCAGTGACCTCAAGCATAGACATTACTGCTCAAAAAGCATCTACAGCCAATCAATTCTCAGTCTATAAAGCTTTCAGCACAAGCAGGCCCAGATGCACATTTGATGGTTTTTTGATTATCCAAAAGCAAATATCATTCCTTGCGAAGCTGCCGTCTAACATTCACAGAATAAAACACTCCAGTTAAATTCATCCACCTCAAAGAGGAAATGCTCATGAAAGCAAAGCAATGGCCTAAGCGCAGCTCAACACCAGAAGCGCAGCACAAGAGCTCAACACCAGAAGTTCAGCACAAGAGCTCAACGTCAGAAGCACAGCACAAGAGCTCAATGCCAGAAGCGCAGCACAAGAGCTCAACACCAGAAGGGGAACACACCAGAACTCAATGCCAGAAGGGGAACACACCAGAGCTCAATAGCATAAGGGGAACACACAAGAACTCAATGCCAGAAGTGGAACACACCAGACCCAGAAGCAGAACACGCTAGACCCAGAAGGGGAATGCACAACATACAAGAACTGAACACCAGACACACAAAAGTGAAGCACACCTTTAACCCGTACCCAGTCCTAACCTTAACCATATGTAACCAAACAAAATACAAGTCTACAAGACTGAAAAAATGGTCCCCACAACGTGAAAATAACAGGTTTCATTCTGGTCTTTCAATGTAATGTATATGTGGAGCAGACTAAGAGTATCATGGGTTATCACGTAATTTCATAAATGTTATTTTTATTTCATGATTACTCGGTTACTGATAACTGCTATGTACTCCATGCAGCCAAATGTGCAGCAACTTTCAGAAAGTTACACCATAAAACTCCATTAAAAGTATATTTCCTCGAATGTGCAATAAATTCCAGTTAACAAAGACATTTTTATTGATAAACAGATGTCGGTGTTATTGGGTAGCGGGCGCTGTAAAAATGCTCGTAAAAGCCACAGCATCGGTTAAGGTGCATAAAAGGTGCTTCGATGCTGCGGGAACTCCGTCTCTGTCCAGCCCATCAAAACATGGCTCTCCATCACCCTCCCAGCCTGACACTTTTACTCATAGTGACTATTTTTTTTCCCAGTGACACAGCTGGGTGCCCTCCCTGGAGGCACATCCATGAACTGGATGTGGTTTTGACCACCGAGACTCACAGCATTTGTGCATCAAAAGCAGAATCTTTGCAATTATGACCAAACCCTCACGAAGAAAAACTGAACATTTAGTCCAAGCAATATGTTATCTTGATAATCTGTTCCATCCATCCATCCATCCATCCATCCATTGAACCGCTTGTCCTGGTCAGGGTCAATGTGGAGTCCTGAAGTCCATCCCTGGTGGTACGGAGGGCACGTGGCCAGGGTACGCCCTGAACGGGATGTCAGTCTAACCTGTAACTCTCCAGATCTCCAGCTGTTACAGGCATACTGCCTTCTCCCTCCGTGATGTGGAAAAAAAAAATTGGATAAACATTATGTAAATATGGAACATATATATCATATATAATACAGTGCAAAAAGTCTTAGCCAGTTAAAGAAAATGTTTGAAGCTATATATCTGGATAGTAAGTATATATTTGCTCAGGAAAAAAAACATACAGAATTTAACATAACACATGCAAATCAAGAGTAACACAATAAAAACTAACAAGAATTTCTTCTGTTTTCCACAAAGTTACTGATGCCTTGTTGGATGGCTGAAAGAACATCACTTTGGTTCCCAAATCTCTCTTCAGGCACACCTCAGCCATTCTATGTATTCATCAATTACAAACACCAACTGAATTGATTAATTCAATTAGTTAGATAACTTGATGAGGTATTGATTAGTAAAGCATGGCATCCTAGTAGTCAGGTAAAAAAATACATGGGTGTACTGGATGGTTACTGGTTTGATCTTAGGAGAGGCGTTGAAATGGCTCAGCTGAAATACTTTGATGTACATGGTACCATAGTCTTACAACAACAGTACTTGCACAGTACTGTAAATGCATGAAACTCCCACTACAATATCATTTACACAATTTCTAGTTAAATATAATTCTGTACAGTACTAGGAATAATACTTGCACTTACTCATCCACCTCTCTAACTGTCCCTTTCTGTACACCTTAATGAAAGAATTACATCTACCGATGTGATCATTCTACCTTTTTATTCTGATGGCA